TCCAATCTGATTTTAGAATTTGGGAAGCTGTGCGTTGTTGAACGGGCATACACATTCTGTTAGTAATTGTGGTTATTTACACAATAAAATAAACATATTAAATTTTCTTTCAGTGTATGTGTTTTAATGTTTTCAAATGGCTATGAAGTTGTTAGGGCTTAAATATTTACTAAGTTAGTTTTTACATAACTATTTAATAAATGGAGCCAGTAGGTATTTCTTTTGACCTAGAGATGCTGTAAAATAAATTACTGAGCCATTAAGAGAACTATGGGAATGTTCGGGATTCTCTGCCGTAACTTGTCACATATCCTGTAAATTTTCCAAGGGAAATAATTCTTTTTGTAAAAAAAAAATCTGGCAAAATAGAAATGGAACTCTAAACCCAAGGCAAGAAGAAGGAGAGGATGTAGATGCTTATAGGAGTATCTTGACACATATAGGAGATGCAAACAGGAATATCCCTTTCAGTGGCTCAGTCTCTTGAGCCTCTGGAAGGGAATGTTGGCAGAACCCTGGTCCAGGGCTTGCTGAGAGTGAGACTGAGGTATTCGTCTCCTTTACTCAGGGAGACAGGCCTGTAGGTGGGACCACTGAAAACCTTAGCTAGTGAGAGATTTCCTTCTTTCTTTTCTTATTTCCTGTCTGCATACAAGTGTTAATGGGACATAGCTGAAATATTTTAGTGTTACTAGCCACTTAGCTGAGAGTTAATATGAATCAGTTAGGTGTCTGGGGGCCACGTTGGATATAAACAAACAAAGGACAGAGAAGTACAAATGACATAGGGTAGTGATTTAGTGGCCCTGTACTGGCTACACCCTGGTCCTAATACAGAGTCCATTGTGTACTTAGCCTGCTTGTATTAATTATTTTACTAACTAGATGTGGAGGAGTCTGTTCTAACTATGACTTATAGTCCAGAAGCAATAAGTAAAATATGACCAAATAAAACTTGAAAAAAAAATTAAACAAACTTTGAGGCAAAATTATCACAAGTAAAGTCAAAAGGCAAATAACTGCCTGGGAGGAAAATATTTGCATCTTATATCACAGATAAAAGTGTAATCTGCCTAATATATAAAGAACTCTATAACATAATAAAAAAGAAAAAAAATTAGAAAGATGGGCAATGAAAATGATATATAAATAAGCTTATGAGATCTTTTACTTTACTACAAGGACACAACATCATCTATGATTTATTATTGCCAAAAAGGTTTAACTTAAGTCTAATTATGAGGAAACAATCAGACAGATTCTGAGTGTGAGTCTTAAGACAACTATCCATGATTCTTCTAAAAAGACATCTTCATAAAAAACAAAAAAGTCAGGAGGCACAACTCAGCAAGATGAAAAATAACTCAATAAAAATGAGCAAAATATATGAACAAACACTTCTTCAAAAGAGATATACAGACAGCAAAGATGCACATGAAAAGTTGTGCAATATCATTATTTATTAGAAAAATGCAAATTTAAACCACAATGAGAGACCACTACATACCTACTAGAATGGCAAAAATTAGAATGACCCATAACACCAAGTACTGGTGAGGATATGGAGCAACTTGAATTCTCCTAAATTTCTGGTGAGATTCTAAAATGACACAATCATTTTGGAAAACAGATTAGCAATTTCTTTACAAAATTTAAACATACACTTGTCATACAACCCAGCAATCCCACTTCTGAGTATTTACTCAAGAGAAATGCAAACACATCTATACAAGGATCCATGTATAAATGTTTATAGCTTTATTCATAATAACCCCAAACTGGAAACAGCTTAAATGTCTATCAACTCATAAATGATTAAACAACTAGTGGAACAGACATACAATGAAATACTACTCAGCAATAATGAGGAACAAACTACTGTTGTCTCTAACAGCTTGAATGAATCTCAAAAACATTAAGCTAAGTGAAAGAAACCAGATGCAAAAGGCTACGTACTGTATGATTCCGTTTAAATGGCATTTTGGAGAAGACAAAATTACAGGGAAGAAAACAAACATGTGGTTGCCTGGGGATGGAGAAGGGAGAATTGTTGACTGCAAAGAGGCATTTGGGAACATTTTGGGGTGATGGAAATGTTCTATATCTTGATTGTGGTGGTTACATGATTGCACACATTCATCAAGACTCATGGAACTGTAGACTTAAAAAGAATGAATTTTACTGTTTGTAAATTTTGCCTTAATTTTTAAAAAGCAAGAAAAAAGGTAATAAAAATCTAAACTGAAAAAGTCGAGGCGTGGACTTTAGTACATTATAGAAGATTAAAGAGATATAATAACCAAAAACAATGCATCGATCTTTATTGTATTCAGAATACAATAAATAGCCATAAAAAGACACACTGAGGACAATTGGAAAACCTTAAGTTTGGCCTGTAGGTTAGATCATCACCCTCAATAAGTCTGGACGTTTCTAGAACCTCAAACATAGTGGGTAAGGAGGAGAAGGTCCTATCTCGCCTGCCTGCTATTTCCTATACTCCAAACCATTGCACTCCAAAAATTGAAATATATTCTTACTAAGACTTATATTGTTAACATAATTTCTGTACGTACTAAAACTTAGTTTAAAATGTTTTTTAAAAGAGTACTTAAAATAGAGAAAGGAGATTTTTGTTCAGGGCATAGAAAGCAAGTAGGGATTTATTAAAAAAAAAAGATCATGAAAGATAGAGGCTGATGAGTAGAATTAAGAAAAATAATATAGAGACATAGACAACTACCTCTTCATTGCCTCCATCCTCACACTGAAAGTACTGCTCTCCTAGAGAGTTAACCAGGTAATTTAAAGATTTAAACCACTGATTTCCTTACCAGTTTGCTAACAATTTGCTAACAATCACATTTTTGCGTATTGGCAGTGTCAACCTTCGAAAACAGACACCAGTGTAAGAGGCAGAGCGTTTATTTGGGAATCAAAGAATTGCAATCCAGGGAGCACAGATTCAAGTAGAAACCCAAACATGTCCCATGAGGGGGTAAACGTCAGGGGCTTCTAAAGGCAAAGAAGGGAGGTTGTATTACAAAGAAGCTTAATTGGAGTTGGAGGCAGAGAGCTAGTCTTTGCTAACCATTGATTGACTATTGATTCTATCTTCAGAAAGTCCACAATCCTCAGTGTTTGCGATCAGGGTGTCCATTCTTCTGCTGACTTCTCAAACAATTGCTTGTAAAACAATTGCCATTTTGGCTCAGTCCAAAGGTTTGGCCCAGTCTAAGGTTCAGTCAACAAGGCAGTTTCTCTGGAAAGGCAGCTCCGACTCAATTTTAAAATGACTTCACTATTGTCAATTTTGACAGCAGATTTGGGGGTTAAGATTGTGTTACTGAAAGTTGGAGACATTGATGTACGTACCTGTGCACAAAGCTTGACCCTCATTGGACTGTTTTTAGCATTGTCCATCTAGATGGCAAGATCTATGTAATGATGTTTTAATATGCTTTTTATCCTAATACACATATAATTTAAAAAGCATAATTATTGTTAAAATTGAAATATATTTATACCCATACTCAAGTGGAATGTAAATATTTGGTAAACTCTTAAATAGAAAAAAATGTTAATTAACTGTATTTCTTTCTTTTTTACTGCTTCTCCTCCCCTGATCTGTTATCAGATACCAGGTTTGCCAAGTTCTGCAGATGTGAACATACATGGGAATGGTCCCCGCCCTTGAAGATCCCATCATTCAGAGGCCTTTACTTTTAGAACAGACTGTGAATGTAGCTATAAAATCCATATAATACCAAGGATAGTTAAATGCATTTATCTAATCATTTCTAATTTCTGCTTCTCATATTCTATTAAAACAGCACAAAATTGTGGAATTCTAGTAACTGGTGAGATAGAGGGAAAAAAAAAGCAGAATGCATTTAAACCAAATATTCATTCAGGTTCCTTTTCTTAATATGATTTTGAATTTCTCATTTTCAGTTGCACCTTCCATTTTGAAGAGAGGAATCTAAATGCTGCAGAAGTCTTTTCATGCTTTGCTAAAAATGATTTACAAACCAGCGTAATTGGTATTACCTGAGAGTTTGTTAGAAATGCAGAATTTCAGCCCCTACCCCAGACCTTCTGAATCAGAATATGAGTTTTAACAAGATCCGCAGGTGATGTGTATGCTCCTTAAAGTTTGAGAAGAACTGCTAATGGGCATCAACTCAGCATGTCCTCTGAAGACAAACCCTTTAGAGCAGTGATTCTCAAAGTGTGGTCCCTGGACACTATTGGCATCACCTGGAAACTTGTTAGGACTGCAGATTTTCCAATCCACTCCAGTTTTACTCAATCAGAATTGGGTGGGGCTCAGCTATGGGAGCTGAGCTTCAATACGCTCTCCAGGTGATTCTGATGTCTGTTAAGTTTGAGAGCCACTGTTTAGAGGTTGGTTGGTAGAATAAGGTGAAAGTAGGAGAAATCAGTCCTGTAATCCCCAAATTCTCAGGGCTTTGCCTTCTCAGATGCACAGGGCAATTAAATTCTCTTACAATTATTTTTTTTTTTAGGGCTCAGACAGGGAGATAGACATTACAGGATAATAGGGAGTTTTAATGAAATAAGCCTTAGTGCCTAAAAATAACTCCATATTTGATGATTTAGACTCTAAAGCGAGTGAAGCAGAGCCTTCCATTGATCTTTGAATCATATCTAAAAGACCTGCCTCTTATACTTCAATAGTCATCATTACAATTTGTGTGTGAGTTTCACAGGCACTTTTGTAGGCTCACAAAATTCCTTGTTCCATGAGAACACTCAAATAGCACATTTTACTTTACTTTTGCTCACGTTATTTGATATTTGAATAAAAGTGTTGTTTTATATAATGAACTAATGATATATTTATGGCATGTGTGTGCTGTCCGAAGTTGGTAGTTAATTACTCACACTTGAGTGTGGTTCAGCCATTTTGGCTTATAAGGCCACCTCTCCTCCAACTTCCTGTTTCCTGAGTGGGATTTTGTTTCCAATCGGGGCCAATGAAGACTTTCGTGGGGTTAAGAGGGCTCTTTCTCCTTTTTCCTATGATATGGACCTGTGCTGAGGATTGGTCAGGTATAACATATGACTTGGAGAGTAGGAGTTTCTGAACAAATGCTGAAAGATGGGGGCCTCCAATGTGGCTTTTGGATTATTCACAGTTTGGGTCTAGTTGACTCCTAGAAATAGCTAAGGATGCGTGAATTGCAGCTTTCTTTTAGATGCTTGATCTTGGGATGTCATGTTTCTTCTCTTGAATACTAGTCGTGAGACTAGAGAATGTGCCCAAACTTGAAAGTTTCTTTCTTTCCTCAACTCCTCTTCTCTTCTGACCCCTTTCAGACCATGTCAGGTTCTGGGGACTTAAATAGTTGAAGTGGGTTGAATACAAGGAGACTCCCACGGGTGATGGCAAGTCCTCAGGACCCTGTTGAGTGTGACATACGGAAAGGAAGCCTTATCAGACGCTCAGTTGTCCTTTACATTATTCTTTATAAATCCATTGTGTTTGAGAGGGAGCATCCAGCCCTTTCTATGTGGGGTGACCATCTGGGTTTTCCTCATGGCTTCCCTGTTTTGGCATGGAACGTCTCCTGTCCTGAGCAAACTGGGATGGTTGGTCACCCTAAGTATAAACATTGGCTGTCAGTTTCTGATGTTGAAATTTCAGAGTTGCAGTAAGAGTGTGTGTGTTCTTATCAAGTTACCTGTTTGACAAGACGGCCCAGACCTGCTGTCTGAGTACTTGTAAGGATCTCAGTGTATTCATTATTCTTTCTTTCTTTCTTTTATTTAGGAAATATTTAAAACAGACAACTATAAGAAATCATATAAATAATCATTGACCCACTTTTGTGCCATCTCAGCCATAATGCTATCGGCTAGAAATGCCTGGGGGCACTCACCTGGGTCCTGGTGTGAGCCACGAACAGGCATCACCTCTTTCCCAATCAACATTATGATTGGACCGACCTTTTGGTTCTCATTATGATTGCAAAATTCCCTTCAGCAATAACCATTAGGAAACCTTGAAGAAAAAAAAGTTTATTACTTACAGGCCCTGGGGTGTACCAGACACACCTGGGGCCACACAGAGGTTGCAGGGGGAGAGAGAAAAAGAGCATAGGCCTGGGGTTCTGCTTTTATTGGGGTCGAGGGTGGGAATCTAGGGTTTTGCGAATTTAAAACATAGGAGTGGGAATTTAAAGTGCTGGAAGAGAGGAAAAAAAGTGGCCCAAATGGCCAGTTATCTAAATCAACCAGGGTTTCTAAAACAAAGGAACCTCACGGTGGAGGGTTGGGGCTACGTGTCCCGGCTCTTTATCTAGTCATGTGGCTGGCAATGTGTTTATTCCAGATTGCCTTCATTGAAGCAGATGCCTCTTTGAAATGGATGCCTTGGCAATCAAATCTTAAGTCAGGCACCTGCATTACAAAAAGAAAAGCTAGCTGTCAGGGCTTACACTAAACCCACTATCCAGCTTTATTAAATCCATAATAATTTGCTACATTTGCTTACATTTTGTTTTCTGATAGAAGTAAAAGTTCAGGTAGAGTTGAAGTCCTCATGGCCATCCCTGATGCTATTCTCTTCCTCTTGGTCCAGATGTGAGTTTGGTAATTATTCATTTCTCGGTACCTTTTACAGTTTTATGTCAAATTTATGGATCCATAAATATGTTTTGCCGGCATTACACTTTAATTTCTGTTTTATTCTACAGCTTTTTTTGGTTCAACATTAGAGATTTGTATGTATAGTTTTGGTTTGTTTTAACTACTATATGGTATTCTGTTGAATGAATCCATCGTAAATTGTTTCTATTTTCCTGTTGATAGGTAGAGTTTTTCTGATGTTTGGCTGTGACAAGTAGTGTTTGTGCTTGAGTATTTTTTGCATACTCAGGAATAGAATCATGAGGCCACAGGGTGTGCAGATATGAAAACCAACTCAGTCTTGCTCACTTGTTCTTGTGGTGAGCCAGTTTACAGCCTTCCTAGAAGAACGAAAGCTCTTCCTTCTCGTTTTTGCCAACACTTGGTGCTTATAGATGTCTTACTTTTTGACAACCTGAGTGTGAAATAACAATAACTCAGGCTTTAAATTTTTTTAACCTTTTTATTTTTAGATAATTGTAGATTCATATGCAATTGGGTAATACATGACAGTTGTATAAAAATAAGGCAGAGAGATCAAGTGTACCATTTACTCAGTTTCATCCAGTGGTAACATCTTGCAAAACTATAATACAATGTTATGTCAGGATATTGACTTTGTTACAGCCAAGTAACAGAACATTTCTATCACAACAAAGATCTCTCATGTGCCATGTTGCCCTTTGGGAGCCATTTCTACTTCCCTCCTGAACTCCGTCTGCCAACCTTCCCCTCCTCCCATCCCAGTCCTTTTATCTGTGGCAACCATAAATCTGTTCTTCATTTCTATAATCTTATTTCAAGAATGTTACATAAATGGAGTCATACAGTATATTAATTTTTGGGATTGGATTTTTCCACTTACCATAATTCTCTGGAGATTCATCCATGTTGTTGTATGTATCAACAGCTCATTCTTTTTTATTGCTGAGTGGTATTCCATGGCATAGATGTGCCATAGTTTGTTTAACCATTTATCCATTGAAAAACAACTGGGATGTTTCTAGTTTTTGGCTATTATGAATAAAACTATTATAAATGTTTGTATACACTTTATGTGAATGTAAATCTTTATATCCCTGGGATAAATGCCCAAGAGTTTAACTGCTGGGTCGTATGGTGGTTGTATGTTTAGTTTTTAAAGAAATTGAGAATCTGTTTTCCAGAGTGGTTATATCATTTTACATGGCCACCAGGAATATATGAGTGTCCAGTTTCTCCACATCCTTGTCAGCATTTGATGTCATATTTTTATTTTAGCTGTTCTGAAAGGTGTGTAGTGATATTTCACTGTGATTTTAATTTGCAATTCCATAATGGCTAATGATGTTGAACATCTTTTTCATGTGCTTATTTGCAATCTGTGTATCTCCTTCAGTGAAAACATTGTAGGTTTATATAGTTTCCATTTGGCTAGTGAGTTCTCAGTATCCTCTGGGGCTCTTTCCAATATCCTACATGCAACTGAGAGAATTTATCTTTAATGGGGACTAGATACATAGTCAACCTGACTCTTTTCTCTCATGTCCTACCCAATCCCATAATTTCTAGGTTATTCTAATTCTCTTCTCCTGGAACCTTGCTCGGATAGAAGATTCTATCAGAAAATTGTTCCCTTTTTCAGATTAAAAGTAATTACTGTCCAGGTATTTCAAGTTAGAAGGGGAAGGATAAAGCACTATAGGCACTCAGTTTCTATAAAAGCCTAGTTGCTAGGTTTTAGTTTTCTGGATAAGTCTTTATTGCTGCATCAACACTCAGTGCCTCCTTTTATATATCATCAAGCTGTGGATACAAACATGGAAACGATGGCTTGCTTAGAGGACTTCAGTTCAACATGGGAGATCAAACGTGCTCTACACTTAGCATGAATGCTATAATATAGATATATTCTTATGATGCCAGCTCTATAAAAGACAACTGGAGAGTTGGATCATAAGGTCTTATTTTGTATTAACTTTTCATATATTGATTCGCTTGAGAGGCTCTTTGAAAGATATATGTTTGTATGAGTATTTTCAGAGGACAAAGCAAAATATGGAGACCATTTTTTACAGACTTGCTCATTTCTAAGACATGTTTTATTTTAGTGGAGGGATGATCTCTTCATTTGTATTAACTGGCTATGCTAAATTTTTCTGAGCTTATTATGTAATAGCAATATTAACAGAAAGTTTCTCTTTTCTACTTCTTAGCCGTGCAAGTACAATGCACCAACTTTTGGTTCTATGCCAGGATTAAACCCACAATATTCCACAATTTGTATATGAACCCCAATGAAGCATTTCTAGGAGATGACTGCCCTGTCACCGACGTTTGGCGGGATGTTTACTATGAATTTTTCTACCATCCTCGTGACTGTGGCATCGTAACCAAAGTAAGAGAAGTGGCTATTTTACCTAAAACCTGAGTGTTTTATGATTCCTCAACAGACCTACAAACCAGAAGTCACTAAGTTTCTATTTGTAATGTGGCTAGACTGATATCTCTAATAGTCACATTCAGGACAGAGGAAATTAAGGAAGGAGATGATAAATACTTTTTTCTTCTTGTGGGGCAGTAACTACAAACTCGAACGTGTCCCTCATAGATATGAAACTCAGTTAGTGATGGAGCAAGTCAGGGAGTTGACAGGTGTAGGAGGAGAAAAGCATTTTGAATGCATCACAACTTTCTCAAGCAGTTGCTCAAACTAGTGAGACATTACAATTCATGAAATTTGGCCAAGGGCAAACAGAAGAAGGGAGTAACACTAGGCAAGCATCGGAATGTTTAATACTTTACCAGCCACAAGCCCCGTTCACCAGAGCTTTTGGTGTGCCTTAATGGGCACACTGAAAGATCTATTATGCAGACCACTGCTAAAAATATAGCTGGAATTTTGGCTTAATTTAAAATGAATTTTAAATTCATTTTAATGAATTTTCATTCAATGAAACTTTGCTGTAACGTTATTTTCACTCTCCCAAATGAAATGTTAAGAGAAGTAATAGAACTTTGTCAGGCCTAGCTGAATGTCACAGACTGGTGTCCACAGAAAGCAAAATTTGAGATGGAATTGATCATGCAGAATGTTTATTAAGAAGTGTCCACTTTTATGCCAGTACCATACTGCTTTGATTACTACAGCTTTGTAGTATCGTTTGTTTTTTTCCAGAAGAAATTGTTCCATATATAGCCATAGATTCAGTGTGTCTGTGGGAGGAAGTGAGTTCACCATCTTCCTACGTCACCATCTTGAACTGGATGTAGCATAGTTAGAGATCAGGGTGTGTGATGCCTCTGGCTTTATTTTTCTCGGGATTGCTTTGGTTATTCAAGGTCTTTTGTGGTTCAATACAAACTTTAGGAAAATGTGTCCGTATTTCTGCCATTTTGGATTTTGATAGAGACTACATTGAATCTATGAATGGCTGTGGGTAATATGGACATTTTAATAATAATTCTTCCAATCCATGAACACGAGAGACCTTTCCTTTGTGTCTTCAATTTCTTTCAGAAATGTTTTATAGATTTTGGTGTACAGATCTTTTACTTCCTTAGTTAAATTTTTTCCTAAGGATTTTATTATTTTTGATGCCATTGTGAATGAGATTGTTTTCTTTATTGCTTTTTCAGTTATTTTGTTGGTAGTGTATGGAAATGCAACTGATTTCCGTATGTTGATTTTATATCCTACAACTTTACTTAATTCATTGATTCACTGAGTTTTCTGGTTGAGTCTCTAGGACTTTCTATCCATATGATCAGCAATTCCACTTCTGGGTATATATCCAAAGAACATGAAAACAGGATATCGAAAAGATATCTGCATTTCCTTGTTCATTGCAGCATTAGTTATAATAACCAAGATATGGAAACAACCTAAATATCCATCAAAGATGATTGGATAAAGAAGTTGTGATATATATATATATATAGTTGTGTGTGTATGTATATATACAGAAGTTGTGCTATATATATGTCTCTCTATATTTGTCTATATATACACAATGGACTATTACTTAGCCAAGAAAGAGAAGAAAATCTTGCCATTTGTGACAATATAGATGGACCTTGAAGATGTTATGCTAAGTGAAATAAGTCATGCAAAGAAAAATACTGTATGATCTCCTTTATATGTGGAATCTAAAAAGCCAAACTCATAGAAAGAGAATAGAATGGTGGTTACCAGGGGCTGGGAGGTGGAGGAATTGGGGAGATGTTAGTCAAAGGGCACAAACTTGCAGTTAGAAGATGAATGAGCTCTGGAGATCTAATGCACGCATTGTGATTATAGTTAACAATCCTGTATTATATACTTGAAGATTGATAAGAGAGTAAATCTTAAATTTCTCACCACAAAAAAGAAACGATAATTATGTGATGTGATAAAGGTGTTAGCTAATACTACAGTGGTAATCATATTGCAATATATGTGTATCAATTCAACACATTTCTTAAATTATTTTTTCTTTTTTTGTGAGGAAGATCAACCCTGTGCTAACATCTGCCAATCCTCCCCCTTTTTTTTTTTTTTTTTGCTGAGGAAAACTGGCCCTGGGCTAACATCTGTGCCCATCTTCCTGCACTTTGTATGGGACACCGCCACAGCAAGGCTTACCAAGTGGTGCATCGGTGTGCACCCAGGATCCGAACCAGCGATCTCTGGGCCACGGCAGCGGACTGCACGCACTTAACCACTTGCTCCACGGGGCCGGCCCGTCAACACATTTTATACCTTAAACTTACACAATATTATATATCAATTATATCTCATTTAAAAAAGTAAAAAAAGAAGTGTCTTTGGGATCAGCACTTATGAAAGGAAAAAGAAAGAAGAAGATTGGGCAAAGAAGGAAGCTGATCTGTGATGTATGCCCAAAGACAGCTTTGCCTAACCCTGCAGGGAGCTTCATAGTCCTCCTGGATAAGTCACTGGAAGTGGGCCACCCAGGAGAGGGGTGGGGCCTTAGGGAGAGAGCTCTCTGCAGCTGTGACAATTCCTCAAGGGGCGGAGACCTGAAGGCTATCTGGTGACAGTATTCCAGCATCTGGGGTGACTGGCCCTTTACTGAAGGGGGATCTGGGAGGCAAATTACAGGTCCACCACAAGAATTAGGGGAACATCATCAACTTTGATACAGATTGGGGGGGAAAAATGCAGGGGGAAGTATCCATATATTAACTGAAGCATCTGTGGGTGGGGACAGTAGGTGAATTCCATTTGATCTATCCTTATATTTTCAAATTATCTAAAAAGAAGCATGATATATCTTCAGGGAAGAGAAATATTATATTTAAAAGCATATAATGTGAATAAGTCCCTCTGATTCATCTAATCCTCCCATGGAGTCAAGGACGGGGCCTTATATTGAGAATCACATGTTAAACATTCCTAGGAAAGCATTTTGCTATTAAATGTCCTAACTCCTTCCCCCCAGCTATTCTTCCTATTAGGCACTTACCAGATGCTGAGAACTTCATCACTATTGTTCCTCACCACTGTGATTGCTGCTCTTTTTAGAGATAAGGAAACAGACTTAATTGTTTAAACAAAATTCCCAGGGACTCATGGTGAGTTGAGGCAGCTCCCGGATTCCAGCCTGGATTCATATGGTCTCAGAGCTCATGCCCTCTACCACTGAGCAGTATTCCAGCTACCACGGTGTTTCTCCAAAAGAGGTGTAAACACACTTTCTTGAATATGAATCACAAAGATCCTTTCTCTTTCAACTAACAAGTATTAGTTGTCTTTTATGTACAAGCACTGTGCCTGACTTGAACCCATCTGTCCATTTGGAAATGGCCTGATGTCCCACAAACAGATGCTGTCTATAGTCACTTCAGTGAGAGTGTGGCCATTTTTAGAGAGCTTGAAGGATCCATACATTCTTATTCAAATGCCTTTAAATTTCCTGAGACACTTGAGACAAACATGTTTAAAACCTTTCTTTGTCCCCTTAGACTCTCCAGGAGACTCTTCTGTTTAAAACTAAAATCAAGTATATCTCAAGAAACTCCAGCGCCCGAGCTGAAATGCCACTGTTGTGTGTTGTCCGAAAGTGAGTATGGCGTGCCAGACTCTTGTCCTGGCCTCTGGCGTCATCTTTACCTTCCAGATAAGAAACCAAACCTGATGTATGCCAATTATAACTTAATTAAAAAAAAAAGAAAGAAACTAACCTGAAAGTTTAAATTGCCTAGCTGGCGAAGGAGGACTCAAAACCCAAATGGGAATACCAATCTGTTCATCCCTGGCCCTGTATTCTTCAAAAGTTATTATAATTGTCCCGTAGGATATGGGATTACTAGGAATAGTAAAAAACAGAATGATGATGATTCATTTTTTGATACAAGTATCAGGGTTACTGATACTTGTAAAACATGATGGATCTTAACTAGCCAAATCAGGTTATTGTAGTTTTAAGTTTGAGCCCACATTCAAGATTTCTGAAGCAGATAAACAAGAAACAAGGTCTAAGTCATACATAAACTCACCAAAAAGTTAAGATCAGTAGGTACTGTGCTGGGCTGAAGATCTGGGGAGAGAGATGGAACTTACTAGAACAAGATCCACAGGTCAAGATTAGATTTCTTTTGTATCTTATTGATTGAACTTTTTGAGAAAGTCTAAGATAATCAAGCTTTAGATCATAACAACTTTGATCAGGTCTTAGCAAAGTTCTGACACTCACCGGGACTTTCTTTGGGCAATTTTTCTGTTAGAGTTTTCTGGTTAAAATCTTGAACTGAGATTTTTCTTTTTTCTCTCAATGATTATAGGAAAGCCACACTACATCGGGTTCTTCTCACAGATAATAGTAATAATAAATGGGAGCTAACATTTATTAATCATTTACCATATTCCGACACCGTTCTAAGAACTTTACCTGTATGACTGTGTTTGTTCTTCATGACAACTCAATGAGATAGATACTATTATGCCAATTTATGGGTGAGGAAATTGGAAATTGAGGCACAGGGAAATTAAGTTATTAGCTCAAGATCATTTGCTGGTAGATGGTAGAACCAGGAAGTAAACCCAGAGTTTGGTTTCTAAGCCCATGCTACTTAGCACCACAAACTCTGCCTGTAATGTTCTGGAACAATAAGCAGAAATGAATACATCTGCTCAGTAGGAATTCAGCCCCAAGTTCAGTCTTGTAAACACTAGGGTCTAAATAGTTCCTTAGGCTTATGTGATATTTCTCTTTTCTTGTCTCATTTTAGTCAGTATCCTCTTTTAAATGAAGTTAAAAGGAGAGATAATAAAACCGGCAGTGCTGCCAAATGGGAAATAAAAATAAAAGCACTCGTTGCAAATGAAGACGCGGAAGTTGCTTTTGCAATGCGGTCATGGTAAGGGCACTCAGAGGTAGCATTTTATGATTTTGTCCAGGCAAGTCCTAGATAAGAGCCCATACAATTGGCAAGGAAATGTCATGTATTTGTATTAAGAGGTATTATGCTTAAAGTGTTCAGGAATGGCAAATTCATGCATTTCCTGTGTTTGTTGAAGGTATTACTGATCATGGTGGTTTTGTTAATCTGTCACTAACTGATAGGGATCCCATATAAAGAAGAGCTGTCCTTCTTGGGCATCATAGGAAATTCTATGATCAATGCAAAGGTGAAATACCCATCAATTCCAATGCCAACAAAATTCTGAATCTTAAAACAAAACGAGTGTCAAACTGTGCTTACAAAATGGTGGCTTAGATATGTTGATAATCCCTGGGGAAGTGAACACAGAAGTGCCATAAAGCTTGGTTGCAGCTTCTTCCAGGAAGGGCCAAGTGCCTATAAGTCAGTACAGTTCTTCATTCTTAAGTCACATATGAAGGAATATTACAGAAAATCCAGATATTTTAATCTTGGGCTATTAATGAAGGGATGGAGCTGTGTTTTACAGATGGTACTGGGATAGTCTTAGAACATTTTGGATGTACTTCACAGTTTACAGAGGCAAAAGCATCCTTATTCACTTATACATGCATTGCACTTGAATTATTATACACTTGATATGGTCTCAACGATAGATTATTTCCTTTCTTTCAAATTCTTCTCTTCCCTCACCTTCAATCTTCATCCTCTCCCCCCATCCCCGTCCCCTACACACATAAACTGCTTTACTTATGAATAGCAGGTTCTTAGCAAGAGCTAAATAATGTTTATATTGGAACCAATTGTTTTTTTACTGTCTTTTTCCATTTCAGGGAGAATCTGAATATTATATTCCCTTGTGTATCAAATGATGTAACTTTACTGCAAGAGAAGAATTGGGTTGTTCACTCCTATGTTCAGAGGCAAATCTGAAGTGACTGTTCATGACTAAGAATTTTATGTGCTATTTTGTAGAAATCTCAGAAGCTGGTATGGAACTTAATGATACCCCAATTCTCTTCCATTAAAAAAACTAATTTGCAATTTTAAATAAAATGACATGTTGCCTTTTTATATTCCCTTTTCCAAAAAGTCACTGCCCCTGCTTTTAACTTTATGGAGACTTATTTATGAATAAAGTGTGTCCTATTACATGGCTGGCTCTAATTATTAAAGGGCTGACGTGTGTCATTTTAAGCTATGATGCTCACTATAAAGAGGTTTTTAAGGGTAAAATTAACTTTTCTCTCCTTTGTGGCTGATTCATACCCTAAGCTAAGGTTTAGTCATGGTTGGACCTGGTAATAGCATGTATTCATTTACTTATTCCATGAACATGCCCTCCTGGAGTTTATATTTTAATAGGAGGAGACAGAATATAAAAAAACAAAAAGTAAATTCTATAGTATTCCAGGAAGGAGTAAATGCTATTGGAGAAAAAAATACGTCAGAGAAGGGAGATTGGGAATGTTCGGGTGACATTGCTGTTCTAAACATGGCATCAGGAAATGCCTAACTAGAAGATGACAATTGACAGAAGACCTGAGGGAGTGAGGGGGTGAGCTGTGCAGGTCCTGAAGGGAAGGTTATTCAAGACTATGGAAACAGCTGCTATAAAGTCCCTGAGGGAAGAGTGTGCCCAGAGTGTTCACAGGGCAAGAAGGCAAGTGTTGCTGGAGAGTGAGAGTGGTAATAAACGAAGTAAAAACAAAAACCCCCAAAACAATGGGAATGGAGTCGGGTAGGTCATATAGTTTCCCAAAGTTGATGTGACAAACTTGGCTTTCATTGAAACAAGATGGGGAGCCAGTGGAAAGTTTCAAATGGAGGAGTGACATGGTCTGACTTGGGAGCCATCAGCCACTTCAATTGTTGTTGGAAGGTTAAGTAGGATGAGAGCCAAGAATTGACCGTAAGATCTAGCATGTGAGGAGCACTGATGACTTTGACAAAAGCAATTTTGGTGGAGAGGTGTGAGCAAAAGTCTATTGAATCAGGTTTAAGAGAGCATGAGAAAAAAGGAACCTGAGTGAGTATAAATGGCTTTTCCTAGGAATATGGCTGTAAAGAGAAGAATAGAAATTGGGTGGTTGTCGGGGAAAGTGGAGATAGGATCTAGAGCACAGGTGGAGGGAATAAGATGGATTGCTGAAATGCTGAATGCAGAGAAGGCTGTGAGTGGAAGATTCAGGACTGTCAGGAAGTCAGGTGGAGTCTCCTGGTGCTGCTCAAATTACTCCTACAATGACTGAGATCCTAAAATGAAAAGAAAATATGGCATAAGAATTACACATACTTTCTCTCCTGTCACTTCCCTAGACGTAAAGAAGAAACAGATCTCTGGCACAACCAAGCTTCACATTTTACTTTACTTATTCTCTTGAATTTTAGAACCCATGTGATCAGTAAAGGATGGATTTAGGAAACTGGGCTGAGTGTATAGTAACACCTGATGCTATGAGCATATACAATACCTGAGTTCATTGTGAGCTGTAAAGTCACATGAGGCGGCTCAGCTTCCTGTTATTTTCTGTATCCTGAGTCATTGTGGGGGCCGGCCCCGTGGCTTAGCAGATAAGTGCACATGCTCTGCTACTGGTGGCCCGGGTTCAGATCCCGGGCGCGCACCGACGCACTGCTTGTCTGGCCATGCTGAGGCCACGTCCCCCATACAGCAACTAGAAGGATGTGCAACTATGACATACAACTATCTACTGGGACTGTGGGGAGAAAAAGGGGGAAAAAAAAAAAGAGTCATTGTCCTGGATCTGGTATCAAATAGCCTCCCTTGAAGTCAGTTTTGGTGCATCTCCTTCTTGCTTTGACTTTGGTTCTGGAGCACCAAGTGGTATAAAATAGAAATCCAAGAAATTTTCCTAAAGAGATAGCATTTGTGGTCATCTGGGCACATTGATATGCTCAATATGTGGGGTGAATGAATGAACTGGATTCTTATTTGATTTTCTGATTCTTATTGTCCTGACTGGATAGTAAGTAGGGAGTAACTTAACCAGGATTTTCTGGTTCTAATTAGACTTTGGGCCAAATAAGTGTCACTGTCTTATCTCCCTTTTATCAGTTAATGTACTAAATTCGAATTGATATTATCTTTACTTTTCTGGAATATTCTGTAAACAGCAGGTATTTTCTTCTGATCCCAAGTCTACCTTTTTTCCTCTGCCATGTACCTCTTCCACGTCTGAACCCTCCATAAGAACAACTTTCAAGGAATCTTGCACTGGTCTTTGTGCCCTGATCATCAAATTCTCGTCTAGGATGCTCTTCCTAAATTAATTCTATAATGCTGCTTATCCTCCGATTTCTGTAGGAACATCTTATATTGATTGACACATGCTTTTCCATTTTTACCTCCCTGTCCTGTTGTATGTAGTGGATCAGAAAATGACTTGTCAGCCTTGGCACTGAGCAAATGAACTAGAGATAAGTAACTTTTAGATGATACTTACTCTACATATAACCTTAGGAGGTTGCATGACACCTAGGTAATTCTTGGGAGCCAATGAGATGTCAAGTCTCACTTTCAACCTTGTTTACAGGTTTGTCTACAATATGGGTTTGGCAGACACCACTTATTTTATTTATTTTTTTTGGTGAGGAAGATTGGTCCCAAGCTAACACCTGGGCTAGTCTTTGTCTATTTTGGATATGGGGTGCCGCCACAGCTTGGCTTGATGAGCAGTGTGTAGGGCTGTGCCCTGGATCTGAACCAGTGAACCATGGGCTGTCGAAGCGGAGTGCGTGAACTTAACCACTACGCCACCAGGCCAGCCCCAGGATACCACTCTTAAGGCAGTTGTCCTGAGATAATTTGTAATAAATCAGTGTGACTAAATTTGGAATAACACAATTAGATTCTGGAATTATTGGCTATACCTGCCAGAACTTCAGTGACAGGTGCTTTAGGTTTGAATTTTTTGTTTTTACTGATATTTCATTGTTACCATTCCTTTTCCTCTCTGTTTGTGAGTGGCAGTGGGTGTGATTCATGAGCAAGATGCAGTTGGAGGGGTTTTTGGAATTAAGAGATGTCTGTCCCTGCAGTCCACAAAGAGCGGAAGTACAACGTGAATATGGTTTTGTAGACCTTGGTCTTAAAGGGCCAAGCCTCTAAGATCACGTATTATTGAAAACATGTGATGATTGAAATATACAAACCCTTAGGAAGGAAGAAGAAAGCCACAGCCTTAGTTACAGAAACGGACCTGGAGTAATTTCCTAGAAGCATAGTGAATACAAGTTCTTTGTGCCTCATAGTCAGAAATAGCAAAGTGAAGAAGAGTTAGCAGTAAGAAGTGTTTAAAACATAATGCCAGTTCTAGAAGAATTTGTTATTTAAATATTTTTCCTTAGATCTGATGGCTTTGAAATATTAATTGGAAAAGGCTGGCCCCTGGCTGAGAGAGTCTTAGTTTAGATCCTACGGAGGCGGATATGTCCGGGGCAAAAAGAAACCGGCCAGTGGTAATTGCAACCCTTAGTTGTACATCTCAGGTGTAGGAATTTTAGTTACTTTAAATTTGCAGGAATTTTTTTCCCCAATTCCATCCTAAGACTCTTCTAGCTAAGAACTGACCTTTCAAAAGGTGGATATGAGTGTCTTCAAGATAACTTATTTTTAATATGTTGTGGCCCAAAACTGGGTGTTGAAGCTCCACTGGGATTAGGATAGTATCCACATGAGGCTGTGGGGTGGAGGGGATTGGTTTAGGGTTTTGAAGTTCAAGTGGATTCCTAGTGGGGTGAAAAGGGCATCGGCCTGGGAGAGCAACATGACCTTGTGTTTCAGGTGGAATGAGGTGGTTATCCACACAGAGAGTGATGGGCATAGCATGCGGGGAGGTGGGAGCAGAGTGAGGTGAGTATGGTTTCTGCCTGGTGGGGGTGATAATGATAGTAGATTGTTTCATACAGGGATATTGATCCAAAAAATTCACCTACTAAAGATAATGGGAACCAGAT